TTTTTTTTCTAAGTAGCATAGTAATGTAATAAACTTTCATGTCCTAGAGAAATCATTAAATTTTGGCTGGTGCCCAGATAGCCATTATATTATGCCAGTTGATACAACTTGGACTTGAAAATATGTTTGGAATAACTTTTCTTTTCTAACCCACTAATTATGCTATAATGCCAAGATAATCGTTTCTTTTTTGTTTCTCTTCAAGTTGCTAAATGCATTCTCGCTTCCTACAGAAATTTTGAAATGGAAAATGGTTTTCTAAGGTAAAGAAAGGATCTTTCCCACAAAATTTCACAAGGCATAATTGTTGCATCAATTTTGCCACAAGCTAGTCTCTGGCCTTTAGTCTGGCATGCCTAGATTCTAAAGTTTGTCATTTAAGGAGAATGGTGACGCAGTGGCTCACACTTGTAATCCCAGCTGATTCAGAGGTGAGAGGATTGCCTGAGCTCATGGGTTCAAGACCAGCCTGAGCAACATGGCGAGACCTCACCTCTAAAACAAACAAACAAATAAGAAAACAAACAAGCAAACAAACAAGCTGGGTGTGGTGTTGTGCACCTGTGGTTCCAGCTACTTGAAAGGCTGAGGTGGAAGGATTACCTGATCCCAGCAGGTCGAGGCTGCGGTGGCCACGAGCAGTGCCATTGTACTCCAACCTGGGCAATAGAGTGAGACTCTGACTCAAAAAAAAGAAAAAGAAAAAGAGATTGGATCATTTTTAGAGGCAAAGTAAATTTGAACAAATTTAGTATTGACAGATGAAATGAGAACGAGAGTTTCATGACAAGATTATTTTCTCCTGTGACAGAATCATACATTTGGAAGCCTGTTTGCTATGAATGGAAATAGAAAAGAGATAGCCAGGCTTGGTGGCTCAGCCTGTAATCCCATGCCTTTGGGAGGCTGAGGTGAGTGGATTGCCAGAGCCCACGGGTTCGAGACCCGCCTGGGCAAGCAAGACCTCATCTCCACAATAAATCAAAAATCAGTCGGGCATGGTAGTGTGCGCCTGTAGTTCCAGCTACTTGGAAGGCTGAGGCGGAAGGATCGCCGGAGCCCAGCAGGTCGAGGCTGCGGTGGCCGGGAGCGGCCACTGCACTCCAGTCTGGGTGACAGAGTGAGACTCCAACTCAAAAAATAAATAAATAAAAATAAATAATATATCATTTTTTTGTCCATTCTATTGTTCGAAGAAGATCTGGAGGGACACACTTGTGATTCCTGAAAACCGCTTCTCAACTGATTGATCAGAAGCTTGACAAATTTCAAATGGGACATAGGTTTTTCATTGTTTTTGAATGGAAAACTTCAAGGAAGCATATTTTTTGAAAAATTTGCGCTGGCATAAGTTTTTGCTGTTTAATCACCCGTAATGTCTTTGTGTCCTGTCAGAGGGGACATCTGTGTGCAAAGGGGTAATATTTGACTTTCCAAAGCATTTTTATAGAATTGAATCGTCACTGTTTGGTTTTCTCTTTTTAGGTACTTCTAGGTTGCATGAGTTAAATTGAGATAAAGTTTATTTAACTTTCAGTAAAGGTGTTAAATATCCTTTAAAAAACGTTAGCAAATTGCAAAGAAATTAGAATTTGAATTAAACTGTAATTGTTATAGAAGATATGCTTTATCTCTTTTAACTCTTTTTTATGTCTAGCATACCTGTAAAAATGGCTTAGAAAAAAAACCATGGAGAAGTATGTTAGACTACAGAAGATCGGAGAAGGTTCATTTGGAAAAGCTGTTCTTGTTAAGTCTACAGAAGATGGCAGACAGTACGTTATCGAGATTAACATCTCAAGAGTAAGCACATGTTTAGTTTGATTATACAAGTAATAGTTTAGTTACAATAGGGCTCATTGTTGAGAATTTTTTAAAAAATATTATTATTTTAAAATTTTTATTATAAAGATGTGGGGTACATTTCAGGGTTAGGTATATAAACATTGATCATGCAGGTACCCTTGTTGACGAAGTATGCCCCTTCTTCTCCTAGCAATTTCCCTCAACTGGCAATCCCACCCCACTCCCCTGACAGTTTCCCACTACTGCCAATCACTTTCTTTTTTTCTTTTTTTTTAATTGGAGTCTCACTCTGTCACCCAGGCTGGAGGACAGTGGCACGCTCCCGGCCACTACAGCCTTGACCTGCTGGGCTCTGGCGATCCTTCTGCCTCAGCCTTCCAAGTAGCTGTAACTACAGACATGCGCTACCACACCCGGCTAATTTTTAAAAATATATTGTAGAGATGAGGTCTCGCCAAGTTGCCCAGGTGGGTCTCGAACCTGCAGGCTCAGGCAATCCACTCACCTCGGCCTCCCAAAGGCACGGGATTACAGACTGAGCCACCGAGCCTGGCTGCCAATCACTTTCTTATACCGTTATGATTGTTTAAGATTTGTTTATGAGTGAGAACATATAGAACTCTGTACTTTGTTTCTGTGATAAATCACTAAGTATGATCGACTCCAAATCCATCTGAGTTGCTACAGAGTCCATATATTTGTCCTTTATGGCTGCGTAATATTCCATCGTGTATATGTACCACATTTTTTTTTATCCAGTCCAGCTTCGATGGGTAACATGGTTGGTTTCATGAGAATTTTTTTTAAGTAATGTATAACCGAGGGTGAAAGACTGCCATGATCCCAGAGAAAACCACTAATGTCAGAATAGTCTGTATTTACTTTCTGATTTTTGCTGTGATATGTGCTTGCGTTTATTTGTTCAGAAAAGTACACCTACTCTTCTGTAACTTATCTAGTTTGGACACCTTAAAATGTTTTCACTTACAGATTCAACTCATCCATTTTAACTTCTTGCTATATTTTGTAGCTTGGACTATGTTGGTATCATTATTATTTTTTAAAATATTATTAGAAAAATATGGAATGCTTCACGAATTTGCATTTTAGCAGCTCTCTTACTGATGGATTTTCTTTTCTTGTCCCATTCAAGATGTCCAGTAAAGAAAGAGAAGAATCAAGAAGAGAAGTTGCAGTGCTATGCAACATGAAGCATCCAAATATTGTCCAGTATAGAGAATCATTCGAAGGTCAGATTACTTTTGCAAGAGAGTTCAAAAGAAGTCCTAAGACATTGATAACTTTTGGATATTTTCCCTATGAGGAATCTTTTTGTGATTGTGTTCTTAGGAAAAAGGGAATATCATTTTTGCTTAAACACATATGTATATGAGTATCAACTTGATTCAAGGGTAATGCACCATACTGTCCTTGTGTAGTTTAAAACTGGCTCACTGTAATTTAGTAATTGCTTAAAAAGCAATGTAGTAAATGCAAGAATTTGGACAAAACAAGAAGAGTAACTTACATATTTTAAAATTCAACTCCCTGTAACTGCTGTCACCACTATCACTGAGAAAATCTTCTGATCTTTACAAAGTATCCTACTCATTGATGTTTTCTTCTATACCTTAGTATTACAATACTGAGATCTACTGGGAGTTTTCTCAGGTTCTTAAAATGTAGCTCTGATTGTTGTTTTGGAACTATGTATATTATAGTTTTAATAATTTAATAATACAGGAACTGAGATGAGGCAAAGCTTCTCTAAAGCCAGGTCAAGGTGGTTTATTGACATCTTACCCAAACTTTATTATTGTCATAAATCCCTATAAATGACAAAATAGACAGAAAATGTAGGAAGTAGTTGAAAGGATTCTTTCAGGTTCAGGAACATATCACATACCAGTTTTAAAGTCTGAATTATAGCCAAAGTAACTGTGTTCCCAGATGAATTCAGTATCTTCTAAAGTAGAACATTTTTAAAAATGTGGTTCAGTAGCCGGGCTCGGTGGCTCAGCCTGTAATCCCGCGCCTTTGGGAGGCTGAGGTGAGTGGATTGCCTGAGCCCGCGGGTTCAAGATCCGCCTGGGCAACTTGGTGAGACCTCTCTCTACAATAAATCAAAAATTAGCCGGGCGTGGTAGCACACGCCTGTAGTTCCAGCTACTTGGAAGGCTGAGGCGGAAGGATCGCCAGAGCCCAGCAGGTTGAGGCTGCAGTGGCCGGGAGTGGCCACTGCACTCCAGTCTGGACGACAGAGTGAGACTCCAACTCAAAAAAAAAAAAGTTGTAAAATGAAAAAACTTTGACTTTTTCTTTGAGCCATCTATGTTCCTTTTTTGGAGTTAACCACTGTTACCCAACCACTGTCTTGTGTTTCTTTTCAGAAATACCTAGGCTTTAACAAATACATAAATGGTAACATGCTCTGAATGATTTTTTACTTTTTGTCTCTTATGCTATATAAATTATATATATGTATATCTTTCACAAACAGTGAGTTATGGTTTTTTTCACATTGTAATTTCTCACATATACATTGGAATGGCCTTTTCATGTCAACCATAGTCATAGTGATTCTTAATTAGCTTACTCATGTATGTTCCTAATCCCAATGGCATATTACCAACAGTAGATCAAAAGAGGATATGCACACCCCAGGTAACAAGAACACTGCCACAGGTTGTGGGAAAAAAGGCCATTGAGCAGATAGTAAAAGTGAGAACTGGGAACACTGTTCTTTGCATTGTGAGAGTCTCACTAGTAAGTAGCGGTTCAGTAAATGTTAGTAGTGATGTTGGCCACTCTTCCTTACTTGAGAAGTAGGGGGTGGAGAGAATTTTTAGAAGTGTTCTTGCCAAGGCTGGGCGCTTTGGCTCGTGCCTATAATCCCAGCAACTTTCGGAGACTGAGGTAAGGGGATTGCCTGAACACACAGGCTCGAGACCAGCCTGGACAGCATGGCAAGACCTCATCTCTACAATAAACCAAAAAATTGACTGGGTGTGGTGGTGTGTACCTATAGTTCCAGCTATTTGGAAGGCTGAAGTGGAAGGATCACCTGATCCCAGCCGATCGAGGCTGCGGTGGATGTGAGTGTGCCACTGCATTCCAACCTGGGCAACGGAGTGAGATTCCAACTCAAAAAAAAAAAAGGCTGGGTATGGTGGCTCAGCCTGTAATCCCAGCACTTTGGGAGGCTGAAGCGAGAGGATTGCCTGACTTTGGGGGTTGAGACCAGCCCGGCCAACTTGGTGAGAGCTCACCTCTACAACAAATCGCAAAAACTAGCCAGGCATGGTGGCGTGTGTCTCTAGTTCCAGCTACTTTTAAAGCTGAGGTGGAAAGATTGCCCAAGCCCAGCAGGTCATGGCTGTGGTAGCTGTGAGCGTGCCACTGCACTCCAGGCTGGGCCACAAGAGTGAGATTCTAACTTAAAAAAAAAAAGTGAGCTGGGCTCAGTGGCTCAGCCTGTAATCTCACACCTTTAGGGAGGCTGAGGTGAGTGGATTGCCTGAGCCCGCGGGTTCGAGACCCGCCTGGGCAGCGAGACCTCATCTCTACAATAAATCAAAAAATCAGCCGGGCGTGGTAGCGCGCGCCTGTAATTCCGGCTACTTGGAAGGCTGAGGTGGAAGGATCGCCAGAGCCCAGCAGGTCGAGGCTGCGGTGGCCAGGAGCGGCCACTGCACTTCAGTCTGGGCAACAGAGTGAGACTCCAACTCAAAAAATAAAAATAAAAAAGTGTTCTTTATTATTATTATTTTTTTTTTTTGGGGTAGAGAAAAGATCTCGCTATGTTGCCTGCCCAGGCTGACCGTGAGCTCAAGTGATCAAAGTGTTGGGATTATAGGCGTGAGCCACTGCACCCGGCACTGAGAAATGTTCTTCTAAGCTTGGTGCAGCGGCTGAGGCCTGTAGTCCCATGTGCTAGGGAGGCTGAGGCGAGAGGATCACTTGAGCCCAGGAAGTTGAGTCCAGCCTGGACGATATAATGAGACCCTGTCCCCTTGAAAAGAAAATTAAGTAATTAAAAAACCCCTGTTCTTTAGTTCTTTATATCCATGGAAAGGGTCATAGATGTCCCTTTCTCTGGACTGAGACATAAAGGTGAATGGGCCAGTGCCTCATCTTCATGTTGGTTTGCAAGTTATATCCTGTTTTTTAAAAAGAGAATAAAAATCAAAGAAAGCTCCAAGAGGTTAGAAACTGTTTCCTGTTGTGTCATATTCACTATTGAATCCTCAGAATTCATCACAATATTTGTTATATTTGATTAATGAGTAACTCATTCAAGTGGATAAAGCAAAGTGAAGGATCAATGGTCCGCTGGAAAGCAGGATAGCTCCTTTCGGACATACTGGTGGAAAAGCATGATCTTGTAGATGACATTTCCGGGAATGTATTTATTGCATGAAATCCAGTCTATCTATCTGCATTTTCTTTGTGTTCCAGCGATGTTTAGGCAGATGTGAACGTTACGCTGCAGCAGGTTGGTCGGCTCCGGCTGGAAAGACCATTCATGATGGCGCTGCCATTCATCTGAGCCGTTGTACAGTCTGTTTGGTCGGGATGTCTGGCTTTGTGCCCTCATGCTTTTGCCTGTGGTCCTCTTTTGGGTTAGCAGCTGCTTCTAGTGGACCTTTGCGTATGTTTAGCTTAGTTATGCCTTTGATAAGCCTCTGAAGACGTGGGCTGTATGTTCGCGTTTTGCAGAAAGCGGCTCTCTCTACACCGTCATGGACTACTGTGAGGGAGGGGATCTGCTTCAGCGAATCAGCGCTCAGAAAGGCGTTTTCTTTCACGAGGAGCAGGTGAGTCAGCCTGGGGGTGACGACTCTCCCTCCGTTATCGAGAAGGGGTTCAAAATTTGTTTTTTATGTGTGTATGTATTTATTTATGTAAAAAAATTCCTTCGAGTCGGGGTCTCGCTCTGTCGCCCAGGCTGGAGTGCAGTGGCATGCTCAGGGCGCTCTGCAGCCTCGACCTCCTGAGCTCAGGTGACACTCCTGCTTCAGCCCCTCGAGTAACTGGGACTGTAGGCACACGTCACCACGCCTGGCTAATTTGTGTATTTTTCTGTAGAGACGAGGTCTCACTGTGTTGCCCAGACTGGTCTCAACCCTGGGCTCAAGCAATCCTCTCTGCCGTGGCCTCCTAAAACGCTTGGGTTGCAGGTGTGCGCATCCGCATCTGGCCCTTCATGTTTATTTTTGACTGCAAATGCTAATTATAATTACTAGGGTAGTTTGGCTCATTTCCATTGTCTTCGTCACATTTCCCTCTAATTAGTTCCCACCCATGTCCAATTCCCTATCTCATTTCTGGCCTATAATAATGCAATATGAATTATATCCAATATATTTACACACACACACACACACACACACACACACACACACACACACACATACACATCTTTGTGTATTAGTCATTGTAACTGGTTAATTCTCTATCCTGTCAACCTTACTTACTCCTGCCAGCCAGACCATTCTTCCTAAAATGTGATTTGCCAGGTGACTCCAGCAGCTCTAGAAGCCTTACTTTGGTAGCTGCATTAAATTCAATCTCTGGGCCAGAGTTGGTGGCTCAGCCTGTAATCCCAGCACTTTGAGAGGCCGAGGTGAGTGGATTGCCTGAGCCCACGGGTTCAAGACCAGCTCGTGCAACTTGGCAAGAACTTATCTCTACAAAAAAATTTTTAAAACTTAGCTGGGCATGATAGTGAATGCTTGTAGTTCCAGCTACTTGGAAGACTGAGGTGGAAGGATCGCTGGAGCTCAGCAGGCTGACGCTGGGGTGGCCATGAGTGTGCCACTGCACTCCAGCCTGGGCAACAACAACAACAACAAAAAAATCCAATCTCTGTTTTGATTTCAGTCTTCGTTTTGAGTGCAGTGGCATACTCCTGGCCACCACGATCTCTGAAATAGGGTCCTGCCCTATATAAGCAGCCTTATTTTTTCTATTCCCTAGTCTGCACCCCTTCAGTTTGTTTTAACAGTTACTTACTAAGCACGTGCTTTGTGTTGGGCACTGGCTGTGTGTGTGTGCATCTTGTTCTCCTTCCTGTGTGTTTACTTTGATTACTTTATTTTAGTAAGGCTTTCCCTCCAACTCTATTCTTAATATTCTGCCTTTTTAAAAAAAATTCAGCCGGGCTCGGTAGCTCAGCCTGTAATCCTGCGCCTTTGGGAGGCTGAGGTGAGTGGATTGCCTGAGCCCACGGGTTCGAGACCGCCTGGGCAGCGAGACCTCATCTCTACAATAAATCAAAAAATCAGCCAGGCATGGTAGTGCGCGCCTGTAGTTCCGGCTAGTTGGAAGGCTGAGGCGGAAGGATCGCCGGAGCCGAGCAGGTCGAGGCTGCGGTGGCTGGCAGGCCACTGCACTCCAGTCTGGGTGACAGAGTGAGACTCCAACTCAAAAAAAAAAAAAAATTCAGCTCAAATCCTAGCTTCTTTACATTTTCATAACTATTCTAATCTTCTCCTTTTCTTAAATTCCTATCACAGTTTTCATTATCACCCATTGTTAGTTTTAATGCTTTTACATAGGGGAATAGAGGGAATAGAATGTGCTAGGAGTATTGTATTTGTTGTCTCTTTAAATTCTAATAACGCCATGAATTAGTGTATTTTTTAAAATTTAGTTGATAAGGAAACTAAGAGGGATTAAGTAACTTGCCCAAAATCATTGTCAGTGAATGAACCTACTTCTGTCTCACTGCAAAGTTTGTAAAATTGTCTTTTCACAAACTTAAATTGTGAAAGTATTAAAATATTCAGAACTAAAAAGTCTTCTTTCTCCACCCTTTTGTCCCTGAGATTACACTGTTTTTAGTTTGGGGTGTTCTTCCAGACT